CCTGCTCGCTTCAGTGCATGGCTGCCGGCCGCCATCTTGGCTGACAGTTAATTTGCATAAGGATACGCTGATTAGCCAATGGGAAGGGTAGCGGTCGTACGCTAATTACCATGTTTCTCTTTTATTAGTGTAGATAAAATGTATACTGGTATTATACCCCACAGTGACATAATCAGAGAAAAGCATACTTTTTTACAAAACCCAGATTAACATATCTCATTTGTCTAGGAATTCACTTTGATCACAATAACTTAGATTCTTATATGAAAGGGGTTTCTGTGGGAGAGATTTTTTTAGGCTAGCATATTTAAAGTATTAGAAGTTCAGTTTATTTTCTGGGAATTCTGGGACTATTAGATTCAAGCAGGCTGTTATTTAGTCTCTGTAAACCAGTCACAGAAGAGCTCCTTTTGAAATTTTAATGCAGTTTTAAAAATCCACTCTGGAGAAAGGAAACTACTTTAGCCTCACAGTGAAAAGTGAGAACTTTTTTCAATTATAGACACATAAGGGTTTGTAACTTTAGTTTTATAGCTTTATTATTCATAGGTCAAAAGTTAACATAGATCATAAACACCCAGAGATTGCCTGCTTGATTCCCGTCAAGGCACATGACTGGGTTTTGGCTTGGATTCCCAGTGCAGGAGATAGACAATTGATGTTTCTCTTTTTCTCTCTCTAAAGTCAATAAAAAAATCTTTAAAAGTAAAGGAACTGGGTATTTATTTCTGTTATACGAGTAAAAATTTTAAAAAAATCAAGAATGAATATTGAATTTTATCAAATGCTTTTTAAAAAAATTTTTTAAAAAAATATATTTTATTGATTTTTTACAGAGAGGAAGGGAGAGAGATAGATAGTTAGAAACATCGATGGGAGAGAAACATCGATCAGCTGCCTCCTGCACATCTCCCACTGGGGATGTGCCCGCAACCCAGGTACATGCCCTTGACCGGAATCGAACCTGGGACCCTTCAGTCCGCAGGCCGACGCTCTATCCACTGAGCCAAACCGGTTTTGGCATCAAATGCTTTTTAATATCAGTGGAGATAATTTGATTTTTTAAAAACAAATCTATTAAGGTTGAAGAATTAGATAAGTAGATTTTCTAATATTAAAACCATTTTTGTATTTCTATAATTTTGGTGTTTTAGATTTGCTTTGTCTCCTGATGTGATCACGTCATATAGATATTCTCTAAATGCCTGAGAATATTATGTATTCTCTAATAGTGGAGTTCAGGGTTTTCCATGTCTGGTGAATAAAATTCTAATCTTAAAAATTTTATTTACTTGGTCCATTCATCACAGAGACAGAGGTGTTAAAATCTTCCATTCTGATTATTGGTAGATGTATCAACTTCTCAATTTATATAGGTAGAAACTATTAAATGCAAAATTTAAGAAGTTTTATATCTTTCTGGCAAATTGGCGAATGTTAAATAAACATTATGTATTGAATTATTGAATAATGCTTTTGACTTTATTGCCTATTTTATCTGATGTTACTATTTCTAATACCATCTAAGTAAGAAAATGTGGACTCTTGGTTTATATGAGGCATATGCTCATCTTATGAATTCTAATGGCAAACCGTTTTTTAAAAAATATTTTTATTGGTTTTTGGAGAGAGAGGAAGGGAGAGGGAGGGAGGGAGGGAGAGAGAGAGAGAGAGAGAGAGAGAGAGAGAGAAACATTGATGTGAGAGCACAACATAGATCGGCTGCCTCCTGCACACCCCCTATAGGGGATGGAGCGCGAAACCCGGGCATGTGCCCTGCCCAGGAATAGAACCAGCAACCTCTTGGTGCATTGGACGACACCCAACACTGGCCAGGGTGCAAGCCTTCTTTTAAAGCAAATTTTATATTGATGCTGAGACATCTTGTTTCTTTGTTGATTTAATATGTTGCTGGATAATATTTTTCTGTTTCACTCTTTCATTGTGGGTGTAGTCCTTTGAAGTTCCTGCCTTCATGTGAGGTAGTGAAGGGGATGTTGCTCAGTTCTCTGTCTTTTTGTAGTTTCAAGACCCTGTCTCAGGTTTCCATGAGGGTTTTTAAATCATTTTAATTGATAGTCCTTTGGGTTATTAAAACACCGGACATCCAGTCTTCCTCAATGCCAGTTTATACTTACTGGCCCATGGGTTTCCTTTATTTTCTTGGTAATTCACACGTGTTTAAAGGGATGTCTGCTATGTATTATTCTTAAATTTTGGGATAATTTGTGATGAGAGAATTTCTAGGTTAATCTGTTGACCACATTGCTGAAAATGCAAAAATCTCAAATTAGTTTTTTTTTTTAATTTTATTTAGAAAAAAAACCAATGCTTTGTTGAGAAAAAGAAACATTATTATTATTTTTTAACATTTTCCTTTTAGCATGCAGCAGAATTGATTAAAACAGTGGCATCTCGCTATGATGAATATGTCAACGTGAAGGATTTTTCAGACAAAATCAACCGTGCCCTTACTGCAGCAAAGAAGGATAATGACTTCATATATCATGATCGAGTTCCAGACCTTAAAGATCTAGACCCTATTGGCAAAGCCACACTTGTGAAATCTACCCCAGTCAATGTACCCATTAGCCAGAAATTCACTGGTATGTCAAGTATTCAGTTGTAGTTTAATCTTACTCATCTTTTCTCCAGTTTAATCTGTTTTTTTTTAGTAGCCCAAAATCACAAAGTTGCTATTGTATGCTCTGAATTTACTTTGCATTCATATTGTTCAAAATGAATATGAGAATAAAAATTATTATATCTACAGTGAAATTTTTAAATGGAAAAGATGTCAATAAAGGATATGTAAAGTATACAACAGAGTCAGAAAACTTGAACTGTATTTGAGTAATGATAAACTTTAAATAAGCAGTTGTCATTTTGTTAACATTTGTTATATTATTGAAGATTCTGCCATTAAAAATAAACATTCATAAATATAACTTCAAACCTATCAAATTCTGGAGTCATGATTGTATCAAATAAATACGTTACAATATGCTTGGGTATTGTAGGTATATGCAATGTTTGGTAGTCTGTAGCTGAGATCCTAAGGATAATTAATATTCTAAGTTGTTGGGAAAGGCTGATTATTTTACTTATTTTTATTTAACAAACACAAAGTGTTTACCATGTGCCAAGGGACTCTTTTAAGCACTTTACAAATATTAGCTCATTTATTTTTCACAACAACCCCGTGAGCTAGTTACTATTATTATCCCCACATGACTGATGAGGATACTGATGCACAGTGATTAAGTAATTTACTTGTCCAAGGTTGCATAGTTAGAAAGTGGTAGAGTGGAAATTGAACCATGGCACAGTAGCCCAAAACAAGTGAAGTGTTTTTTATGATTAGCTCTTCTTCACCAAAGATTTCTTAAATTCAATGACAGACACATCTAAAAGGTAAGAGATTTAAGTTCAGAGAAAAAGCTTTCATTGTCATTGTCCATCATTGTACTTTCAGTAGTGATTTAGTTTTACCTTTAAGTATTTGTAGACTTTTTATATCAGTATTGGAAAGGAAATATGAAGTCACTATATAATTTGAGTTTTGTCTCAAAATTTTGTTGACATTTCCATTTTTAATTGTAGATCTGTTTGAGAAGATGGTTCCTGTGTCAGTGCAGCAGGCTTTGGCTGCCTATAACCAGAGGAAAGCTGACTTAGTTAACAGATCAATTGCTCAAATGAGAGAAGCCACCAATTTGGCAAATGGGTAGGTAGAGCTTATCTTTCATAAATTTATATGTAAAGTTCTAATGTTTTCTGTTTGATTGTTCTTTAACTAAATATTTATGAACATTTTACTTTCTGACCTTGGAACTGAATGTCAAAGATAAGTGAAATAGCAAATAAGCACATAACACACATAAACACACATTTCTTGGGGACACTATATTTATTAAGCCCTACCAAATACAGTTGGAAGAAATTTAATTACTGAAACAATGTGAAAATGTTTGACCGCTAATTTGTATTTATTTGAGGGAAATGAGAAGTAGAAATGAACTTTTTAAGTTAAGATACATGGTATATTCAGTATTCTGAATCTGTTTTGTTTCTGGTAGATTCATTGGTTTTAGAAAAATCTTAAGTATAATTTTCCTTCAGTAAAGTACATCCATTTTAAATGTATAGGTCATTTCTGTGGATAAATGTGAATACTCTTGTAACCACCACAATCAAGACAGAGAACATTTCTGTCACCCTAAAATGCACCCTCATGCCTCTTTCTTTCCCTTCAGTTTCTCTTCCCCTGACCCCCAGCCACTGTCTCTATAGTGCTTCCTGTCACTATAATTTTTCTTTTTATACAATTTGATGTAAATGTAATCATTATAACATGTGGAGTATGTATATTATAGTACACTAGAGGCCTGGTGCACAAAAATTTGTGCACTCGGGGGCGGGGGTCCCCTCAGCCCGGCCTGTGCCCTCTCGCAGTCTGGGACCCCTCGGGGGATGACCACCTGCTGGCTTAG